GCTAACCCTGCATTCAACCGTAGTAAGATATTCGATAACGACCTGGCTGCCATACACATGAAGAAAAGTCACATAAAATTCAACCGGCCTGTTTACGTTGGGATGAGCATCCTCGATTTATCCAAACACTTGATGTACGACTTTTACTACAACGAGCTGAAGAAACAGTACGATGACAGGTGTGAAGTGCTATACACTGACACAGATTCCCTGCTGATGGAGATTCGAACCGAGGACGTGTACGATGACATGAAAAAACACCTCGATTTGTACGACACCAGCGACTACCCCAAGGACCATGCCATACACAGCACGGTGAATAAAAAGGTCCTAGGTAAGATGAAGGACGAGTGTGCTGGCACGCCCATAGCCGAGTACATAGGGTTGAGGCCTAAGATGTACTCCATACTGAAGGCCGACAATAGTGAGATCCGGAAAGCTAAGGGTGTTAAGAAGTACGTGGTGAAACAACACATCAAACACGCCAGATTCAAGGAAGCCCTGTTCAAGACCCGTACCTTTAAACATAAAATGAACACACTTAGAAGTGATGGGCATAGGATATACGGGTTGACTATAAATAAAACATCATTATCACCTATGGACACTAAACGTTGGATAGCCATTGATGGGATAAACACGTACGCGTACGGGCATGAGAAAATTGAACCAAGAACATAGGTATAAATAAATAGTGACATGTCACGGAACCAGAAAAAAATTTGAGTCTATTTACTATAGTCCACGTGGGTACTGGAAAGGAGCTAGCGCTGTAGATAAGCTGACTAAAATGGCACGAGTACCGCCGCAGGAAGCCAAAGCGTGGCTTGAAAAACAAGCACTTTGGCAGATCTATTTGCCACCACCACGATACGTGCCTAGAAGGAAGTTTGGTATTAACATAACTAATAGTGTTCACCAAGCAGATCTGCTGTTCCTACCTCACGACAGGGTGAGACGTAAAACCTACAAGTATGCCCTGACTATCGTGGATGTAGCCAGCCGGTATAAGGAAGCTGAACCATTGACGACGAAAGATTCTTCCCAGGTAGCTAGAGGATTCGAACGCATATATAAACGCAGTCCGTTGACATGGCCATCAGAGCTCCAAGTTGATCCCGGACGTGAGTTTATGGGTACCGTGTCACACCTGATGGATAAACACGATACAAAGGTCAGGCGTGGTGCTGTCGGGGCTCATCGCAGTCAAGCCATAGTTGAGAGATTCAATAGGACTTTGGCTGAGCGTTTATTCGGTCATCAGTACGCTCAGGAAATAAGCCTAAATAAACCCAACACCGAATGGGTAGCGCGGCTCCCTAAGGTGGTGTCTGCCATAAATCATGAAATCACGCGACTCACTGGTAAGAAGCCGGCAGACGCTATAAAATTAAAATCAGTGATAGCTGAACCGGCTGCTCCTTTGCGTGGGAAGGAAAAACAGATACCAGACAGGACCCTAGTGAGGTATCTATATCAACCGGGAGAACACGAAGGTGACACTCGGAAACGGGCTACTGACCCAATATGGTCGGTCAAAACTTACGATATAGATAAGGTGGACATCAAAGCAGACGAACCTAACTTGTACTACTTGAGGGATGGGCCAGGGAGGGGGTTTGTAAGAGAAGAATTATTGATCGTACCGTACGGTACAGTATTACCTCCCGTCAACACGACATAGAGGTAAGATATCCGGTGGAGTTCGTATCCCACCGTTTCGTGTGATAGAGGCACAATTCCCCTTGGGGAATACATTTCTTTGGGACATTTTGCTTGAAATCCCCAACTAAAGTCTTATTTTATGAAATAAAGCTCTATAGTAGATGGTAATGGTAAGGGTCCAACTAAGGCTTTATCTATTAAATGAAGCCTTAGATTACCCTGGTCCCGGACTCTCATCCTGTCTACTACTAGGCACAGATATATCTGGTTTTGAGTCTGGGCAGTTTCTTCAGTTTGTGGCAGATAATGTTAACCACAATGTTCGGACTCTTGATGGCTTCAATACCTTTCATGGAATAGGCATAATAGCAACAACCACTCTTGGAAAGAAAATCAACAAAGCAATACCAAGGACATGTGCTCCCTCAAAGGATATAACGGCAATTGGACGGATTGGAATTCACTTTTTCAAGTCTGAGTGGAATGGCCTTTCCACTTTGATGTATGAAGATCTACATACTACAAATCAACTAATCACATATGATCCAGCTTCGCCTTTAGACACACTTTGGAAGTTATCCTGGCCACTGAAATCTCGACTATCTTCATGGTCAGGAATGATGCAAGCGGTGCACCAAGGAACATATCCAGGAGCAACAACTGTCACCTTCTTACCCGTGATTGACATGAGCCCAAGCGATTCAACATGCATATTTTCGACTTTGAAGTTCATCTGCAGCCAAGCAAGAAAGTACAAATAACTCCTTTCCTAACCTTTGATCAGCTGCTATGGTGGAAAGCCAAAACCATCATTTCCAGTCTTCCTTCTGATAGAGAACTGCAAGCAATAGTATTGCGACTAGGACTACGTTTTCTTGGATGCGTCGGCCATTTGATGGGAGGATCAGGCCTTAGTGACGTCTTTGAAACAATCTATTCTCCCAATGCTGTGACTCACATGATGACTGGAAAAGCAACGGCCAGAACTATCCGTGCCCATTTCCTTGTTGATACAGCATTAAACGCTCTCCTTGTGACAAAGACTTTTGCCAATCCTTGGATTTATGAAGATGATGACACTGACTCCCAGACATCAGCTGCAGACCATCACTGGACAGGTCCAACATGAACTACAAACACAGACCTACAAGAAGCATCTGATCTTTTTGAAGACCTCTAGCTTTTAAGCGGTCATCTACAGACGTCTTCAACATGGCAGTCCTGAAAAGAATCGAGAAACAAATCGAGGACAAGCAGCCTGTGGTTCCAGTACATGGATATGGTAGATATTCTCAGACGGTTTCTCAAATCTGAAAAAAAATCTCTAAAAAAGTTGAAATCTGATGCTCATTTCAAGAAACAAGATGAGGTATTCACAAAGTGGTCCACAAAGGAAGAAGCCATTGCAGCTGGAGAACAAGCCATGATCAGCTTGTACAGTGGGGGGACAGGTACAAGTCTGGATGAGCTGCGTCATCTAAGGTTCTGTGAGAAAGTGTCATCCAGCACCACATTTGTTCAGCCTCACAGCTTGCTTCCAACTACAGCAGCAGCCAGGCAGCATTCATTGCGGGTGTACTTTCAATTACAAGTATGGAAAGATGAGAGAGCATCTGATATGGTCGCACAGGACTGGGGATGTGAGCTCCGTCAACATCAACTGGTTCCAGTTCAAGCACAACTGCCACCTGCACCACCTCAACTCCTTCGTGTTATCAGATGCAACTGCAAGTCGGATTGTAGAAAGCTTGGACTGGACTGTTCATCTAGCTGTAGAAATCATGGACTGGACTGTTCAACTAGGTGTGGCGAATGTCGGGGAGTGAGCTGCACCAACTCTGCACAAACTGACTTTGAAGGTGATGTGCAAGACCTGTTATTCACCGATGAATAGTGATTTAGTGTCAATTTGAGGACTGAATTGATAAAAAAACCTCATGTTATACACAGTATGTGGGACTGACTAAAGTTATCATTCATCAAGGTGACTGTACTTTGAATTATTCATAATCAGTGATACGAATCATGTGTGGACTGTGATCAGTCATCCATACTGGAACTTGGAAACAAAATCAGTAAATGAAGACCCACGCTGGTACAAAATAGATATTTTGTACAGAACTTAATTATTTTAATTGTCTAAAACTCTACTGAATACATGTATAATGAAACCATATTTTACCATCTGTCAACACGCTTTGGGCTTGATGTTTATGAAGGGTCACATGCATTACTTCGAATTCGCTCAAATAGACAATTTATATGTCATCACTTCAACTGTGAAAAATATGAATTCTGTTCATTATACTTTTCTATACTTTTTATATGTTCAGGGTCAACCTTTCTAGAGTCTAAAAAACAAAAGTTTGCTTTTGTTGCAATTTGTTTAAGGTTCAGACTAACTGGCCGTAAAATGACTGGACTAAAACCCCCGAAACTGAAATGGATCTGTACCTGACTATACTGACTTAACGTCCTACAGTATGGATGACACAGGTCAAGTCTACCGTCAGATTGCTGTCTACAGAGTCTTCATGCCAATAACAGAGTTGTAGACCAGAATCGTTGCTGGTCCAGTATGGAACTCCAATGTGAAGTTGTTTAATCTGGCGTCTGGATGAAAGTTAGGGGGAATGTTCTACAAACTTCAATTATACAACTCACTCTGTTCAACGCGAGGTAATTGTATTAGAAAATGCTATACAATAACGGATGTGAAGGAATATCGCTTCCTGAGTATGAATGAGAGTGGAGACCAATTCTACCAAAAGTCCAAGAGAAGAATGATTTCCTTACAAAATAGTAAACACGTACGTGAAGTGCATTGACTTACACCAGAAGCTTTCGGATTACAGTAGATAACAATGAATTGCATGTTTTCGGTGAATAGGAAAAGCAGGTGTCATGCTTGTAAAATTGTATATGGTTGGAATATAACGGCAGGCTTATAAATAATGACAAGCATTTTGTCCGTTTTTCATCCACAGTTCTTTCATATTAAGATTTTTCAGTCTAAAAGAAATGTTTGTGCATTTTTGACAGAATTATGTTATTATTTCATTCTTGCTTTAATTACCTCTTAATTACCAAATGTGGAAATCATCATCATCATCATGCATGATGTACTTGCTTCGTATAATATGTTTGAGGTTAATATAGACTTGAATCAATTAGTATTTAACGTTACAGGTGCTTTAGTGGAAGTGTAAAAACCGTCCGGATGAATGGGGTTTCCATGAAGAGGTTTAAGGGTGCCTTAATTAACGAGGCTTCACTTTCGACCCTATTTCTCTTCACATTGCTTTGAAGAGTGACATTATTGTTGTTTTACTTACGACAACAGTCACCCCTGTTGGTGACGGAGACACTTATAACATTGAAGGTCGTCTGGAGATCTACCTGCCACCCTGTCAATGGATGGCTCCGGAACGTCCGCCGTGTGGGCACAACTTCCGGAACTGTCGAAGGTGTTGCTGTTGCCGTCATTAGCCCGATCAGATGTCCGTTCTCCTTCAGTTGAGCTTTGTTCTGTGGGCTTGTTCAGTGCCAGGTTCGGAAGAGTCACACCTGGGCCGAGAGAACTTAGTTATTAAATTTCCATCTGAAAATAATTGTGTTGAAGGATGACGTTCTTTGACCTGTTTGTTCAATAGCTATGGAAGTATGAAAGTGAGTAAACCAAGTTAGCCTAACTGTGGAACGAAACAGATATTTAGCCCTTATGCTCAAAGACAATGATGGATTCAAATGTGTGAGCAAGAAAAAAGATTTCCCAATGAAATGACTTTTTTGTAAGTGGGCATGAACAAAATAAGGGAACAATGAATGCAGTCAAGTGAACGTTCCAAAGGTTTGGCTATCTTCAGCTATATTATATGTTCCCGTGGGTTTTTTTTCAGGTAAACAACAGTCCTGCCTGAGCATGCTTTTATGACGAGTGCAACGGTGGATTCAGGATACACTCAATTTATCGCGAACACCATGTACTATCACTATTTAACATCATTATCACATGCACGGATAATCATCAATGGATTATGCTTTTAGCAGATAGTTCTTACAGTTATGGATAGTGTACTGTGGTTTCGATTTACTGTTACACCCGATATACCAGACAAGTGGTATATTGTGCGAAGAATACAAATTGTTAGTGGAGAATTTCACATCTGAAGAGACTATGGAACCCGTCTCAATTAGAGATCAGTTGCTTAATACCTCATTCGGTGTAGATTGGCATCGTCAAGTCTTAGATATCAATTCTAATAATTTATGTTTGATTAAATATTCTCAGTATTAATATTGAACTGCTAATGTTCAATATTTGATGCAAGCGGCGGCATTTTCTATTGTGATGCGTTTGTGAATGCCTCAGACAAGACGTTATAGAGAACTGCTTAGTTACGTATAAAGAATCACAAAATGAACTGTCATGAGAATCTATGGTCATATGGCTGCATTCACTATTTAACAAGAACAGGCTACCACGCAACCCCAGAGAGCACACCAGTAAGGGGTCTCACGTTCACTGTTAAGAACACAAACACAATTCAACAAAATGACAATGAAAACAACGGTCCACAATCCCTATGCACAATCATACGAGTCTGTTGTAGGCTTCCCACATGTCTGTGTTTATGTGTCACTGTTCGTGATGACACCAGATATCCGTATGACGCTCTCTGGAATGAAAGCTCTGAAGGAATAGAGGCATCCTTTTATCCTCATGCACCTTTTCCACAGGAGAACGAATCATGAACTGAAATATGTTAAACATGGGAACATGCACACCCCAAAAATGTCAAATATGAAAATGAATCAAACCTGTCGCACTCAGCAGAGAAGCCACCAATATACACAACAAGGCATTGTCCATCGTCCTCCTAAATGAACTGCTATTCTGTGTTGCAGTATGTTTGAAATCGTGATTATATTTGTCATAGTGCAACCATGGTGACTCTGCAGACATAGTTCCTTTTTTGCGAAATATATTGCATTGGTGCATGTAAACACGCATTCAGTCCATAACAACTGAGTATTTTGAACTATTTGAAGGATACTTTAAACAACAGCACATGTCATTTCCAATCAATAACACGCATTACTGTCAAAGGCTTCTGAGAAGCCCAGAAGACAATATTATTCAAATATTGAATTTGTGTCGTATAGCATCTAAAGTGTATATAACATTATCTGCGAGATCACTTCTGTATGATCGTTTAAAGTTTCCGAAGGGGAGTAACAATACTGGCACGCCTCGCTAGCTTTACAATGGGAATCTGTACTGACAGATCGCTTCATAATATGATAAACAAGATGTAATCCATAAAGTATCTTTATTGTCGCGTTTCTATATTTTTCGATTTTCTGAACTTAGTCGATGATTCCGCAAGGTGGACTGAAATTCCCCAGTGTTTAGTCCGGTTAGGACTGAGTATTCTTCTGTATTGACTCTATATTTACAGTGTAAGTCCCCATGGTCCCTAGTGTGGTGATCTACCTTCAGTTGTTGGCAATATATAGCCTGTTTTTACCTTGTATTGTCATCTATAGTTAGACTGTTTTAGATTTGATTGCTAGTTTTAAATTCGAATCTGTAATAATCTAGTTATTTTACTGTCGTTCGTTGACAGGTTTTATAGTTTACCATTGCTTACTATGCATAAAATTAATTGTTCTCGTCACGATATGGCTGAAATATTGCCGATGTGACGTTAAATTTTAACTCACTCACTCACTCTATATTTACAGAGTAAAGCTACCAGTACACACACCAATGCCTCTTGTCGTCCTTATGAACTCGTTCTCATTCTTGATATTGGTCAGAGATATCATTGTAAACCCTTCCCCTAAAGATTATATATCGGAGTATGTAAACAATCATTAGGAAACAGTAGAACAGTCATGCACTGTAGATAAACACTTCAAAGCACTGCATTACGTGTTGATTCCCAAGCTGAAACTAAATAGTTAACGGGAATCAGCCCGTTAGGGATCAATACTGTGAAACCAACAAAGAACACTAAAATGGACAGAGTACACCAAATGTACAAATCACTAGAGAGATATCAGCATGTGAATAAAACATCATGTGGCAGGACAAATTCGGAGATACTATACAGAAGCAGTGATCATAGCAGTAAAGCCAATAATGGTAATATTCACCTCTGAGCAACAGTATTCCAACTTGCGTCTGGGGCGAGACGGGGTATGATTATCACACACAAACATGGTCTTCTGGTGACTTGAGATGTAATGTGAGATGCGAGGCAATAGCTAGCTGCCCTTATATACACATAAATAAGTTGCTGGAAATTTCCATATGGTTCCCTGCATCAGAGGAGGCTTCTAGTACAGTCAATATATGGTATATTGCAATAGATGCGACGTTTCGGTTTAGTCACTAACATCAGTATCAAGTGATATTCAACCTTATAATTCGAAAAAAGCCATTTCCATTGTCATAAGACCTCTCAGGTAGAGAGGTGTGCTGGGCGAGCTGTCTAAGGTGCCAGGCTAGTGACTCAGCGAGCTTAAGGTGCCGGGATCGAGCCCACCTGCGACCGGTTGTAAAAACCTTGGTGTCAACTTTATGTGCAGACTCTTTCAGTGTTGTAACACCCCCTAGTGCACAGTACACAACCCTGTGTACTTAAAAGAACCCACGAATCCGTTGGCATATGACCAGATGGTGGCCACATGAATACGTGCAAACACCTAGTTGCGTGTACAGCAACGTGCAAAACACTTGGACAAAGTACTGTGACTATGTGTCCCAGTCCACCCAGCTGTGAATGGGTACCTCGTAAGGACGGAAAAGCCACGTTAACTTGGTGCGCCTAATGGCTGCAACAGTTGTATGGCCCCCCAGGGAATTGAGATTGAACATACGATGCGCCGTTGAGATTGACAGCCAATGATCGAGGGAAGGCAAAGCGCCTTTGAGCTACTGAGCTGAATATTGACGTAATACAAATATTAGTATGTAGGTACCATTGCCCTTGTGTCATGTGTGCAGGAATCAACATTAATTTGTGATGATACCATATTTCTATATTTGTTATGATTGTTATGTTTCCTTCTTTAGTTATTCGCAATGTTTGGACTCGGAGAACGTGAACGTCCGTCAGACACTCAGGTCATGCAAAACATGGCGCTGTTTTATAGTCTAGGTGGAGACTCTAATGTTTCGGCTGACACTTACACTGACGTTTCCAGATACCAATAAGTTCTCAAACTGGAAAACTCACAGTGCATTTTTTATACCATAGTGTCAGCCGAAAAATATGTATGCAATTTCCTCTTGTATTGTACACGTGTTGGTGTTTGTCTTTTATAGTTAAAAATATAGAGGTGCGATAACTGCAAGCAAGATTCAAGAACACTGAATTCTGAATACCAATTATATTTGCCACGAATAGTAAATCAATCAAAGTGCCAGAATTAGACGTGATTCTCGTAGGTTCAATTATAGTCTGTGAAAGTCCATACGCCGTTATCAGCTGGGATATTAATGATTGTTAGATCCGAGAAGGAATAACAACTTCGTATTGAAGAATCGTGAGTATTTATTCTGTACAGGCTTACAACTGCCAAAATACTTGCGTACACAGCTGAAACGTCCGCTGACCCCTAGCAATTACTTAGATACCTAACGATGCACACTTCATAACAATACTTAATAATCGTTGTAACGTCACAGATAGAACACAATTATCTTTCCTCAGTATTCGTTAGTTACTATGGAGACCGCCATGTTGGATATAAATCTCGCCTACGAGATTTCGTGAGACTAGCAATATAATACTTTCCAAACTATAACCTAACAATTGTTTTCAGTGAAAATATCTAACGTAAAGTCTCCAGCAATTATTGTGAATTATTTTCAACAGCGTTTGCCAACAGATTGGTCAGTAAACTCCCAACAAGCCTCATTTTTGTCTGCCGGGTAGAAGATGCCAAGAACATAATTGTTTACTTTACACTTATCATCTATCCACAGTGCCTCTAAAGCCTCTATATTCCACTGATCGACATTGTGTATCTCACATAAAGATTATTCTTTACATATACTGCAACTCCTCCTTTTGGACGTGGTCGTTTTTCCTAAAACACAAAAACAAATGAAAACAAGCTTTTGAAATATCCGGACTGTCGCTTTGACGCCGTGCTTCATTTATGCAAATTACATCAAAATCACAACATTATGCTTACTAAAGATCCATTTTGTCCATTAAACGGGGAACGTTGTAATGTGTACATTTTCAAGGCGTTTCCGTGAAAATCAGAGAAAAGGAATTATATTTAGCAATAATATTTTTTAGTTAAGTAAACAAAGTGCATGTAGAACAGCGAAGGTTTCATGGACTGACGGACGCTTTTGGAATGCAGAGAAAAACTACAAAGGATCCCACAGTTTGTACTCCACAACTGGAGCTGACACTGCATGTTTAGGAGAACGATTCTGCCCAGGCCTAAGGCACAGGGGGATGTTTGATGCTATCCGAAAATTCAATATCCTGTTTCCTTGCAAACAACTGAACCTGTCTACAAGTGAACGTTAAACAAATACATGCAGGTAACACAAAAGAACAAAAACATACAAGTCATTCACAGTGAGCGAGCCTGACCTGTCGATAATGTTAGTCCTTTCTTAAGACAATCATGGATTTCTGAAGACCAATTCCAACCCAGATATCTATGTTTGTAATCTTTAATAGGGTAGGTCTTCTCCAAAGCAAATAGTGAATAATTCAGTCTTCCCGAACACAGACGTTCATTACACTGCCAACATGAGCGTATATCTTGATGAACGTATGTTGTTGCAATCTACCATGTACAAATATAAACGTAAAATGGCAATGTGTATATGTTTACCTCAGCTGGCGTCTCAGGCTATCTGAGAAAATAAATAGAAAGTTTCTCCCTTGACGCACACGCTAAATGTCAACAGATATGTCTTTGTATACTCTCAGTGTTCAGATATTTCTATGTGCTTTCTTCCTGTCAGATGTTTAGTGGGCTGCTTCACAAAAGTCGAAGTATGTGTAGTGAAATTAAAAAGATATCACTGCAACGCAGAATATTGTCCGAGCTGGTTTGTCTTTTTCGGTTCGTCAATTCGCATTCGCGTCCCACGCCCGGCGATGACACTAGCATTGTTTGTGATGGGAAAGGAAATTTGATGACGTTTTCATTCTATAATAACATGTTTACAACTTTACACATGTAACCCCATTTAAAAGATGTATAATAACTGATATAACCTTGACTTTTATCTTGTTTATGTGTTTTCTAACTACTCACTGTTGACGACTCCGACGAATTCAAACACCATGTCACACATGACTGCACATTTACTGTACGACTGGCACCTGGTAACGTCCCTATTTGAGGGTGATACAGAAACGCATGCTCATAATGTAGTCGGAATCATATATCACACGGGAAAGCACGTTTACTGCACGACTGGCACCTGGTAACGTCCCTATTTGAGGGTGATACAGAAACGCATGCTCATAATGTAGTCGGAATCATATATCACACGGGAAAGCACGTTTACTGCACGACTGGCACCTGGTAACGTCCCTATTTGAGGGTGATACAGAAACGCATGCTCATGATGTAGTCGGAATCATATATCACACAGGAAAGCACGTTTACTGCACGACTGGCACCTGGTAACGTCCCTATTTGAGGGTGATACATAGAAACGCATGCTCATGATGTAGTCGGAATCATATATCACACAGGAAAGCACGTTTACTGCACGACCAAGTTTCGGCGGAGTGTTATGTAAGATATTAATTTCTGCAAGATGTTAGGAATGAACAAAAACCTTTTACAGACAGACAGACAGAGTATGTCCATATTACAAAAGGGTTTTAACAAGT